AAAAACTAAGGGTGCCTGTAGATGTGCCAGGAGGCTGTTCTGACGTACTGTAATTAATTGAGTCTGCTGGAGCATGCTAATTAGTGTGCTCCAGCCAGCCTCTGCATCTTGTGCATCAGCATCCCTGCACTTCAAAATGGTGGCAAGGCCACTTGAACTAAAGTTCACTCAACAAGTTTTAGTTAAAGCACTCCTACCGCCATTTTGAAATGTGGGGATGCTGATAAATAAGACACTGTGGGCACTTTAATTACAGCACCTCCAAAAGCCACACTAATTAAAAGTGCCCACCCCCCACAACCCTGGAGCATGTATAAGAATGCCCTAAAATTTCCCAAGGACACAGTGGGCGCACACATGCAATTAATGTGCCTTAAGGTTACTATGCATTAAAATAAGGTACAGTAAACTATGCCCAGGGATGTGTCTATACATGTGCCCTCATCGGGATCAAATTTGATCCCAATGGGAGCAGTTGAGTCCAGGGCTGCTCCTACCCTCTTGCCCCACTCTGTCCCCTTGCAGCAGCCAGGGGAAGCTCCAGGCTCCCCCTGGTGCCAGCCCTGGAAACAGTGGGGAGCTGTCTCAGAGCAGGAGACAGCTCCCAGCTATGCAGAGCTTAGGATTGCAGCCCAGCTTGGCAGTGCTGGCTTGGGGCAATGCCCCATGGCCAAGCAGCAGTAGCATCCTGAGCTCTCCTTGCTTTGCTTGCTGAGGGGATGGGGGAAGTGCTCTGTCACTGCAGTGCTGGGCTGGGGACATTAAGCTTCCCCATCCCCTCAGCCCTGCTGCTCTTCATGCAGTGAACACCCCAGTCAGCTTCTGCTCCCTGTCCATGCCTGGGGGGCAGTAGGCAGTGCTAGGAGTGGGGGGAGACCTGCTTCCCCCACCCTGTTCCAGCACTGCTCAGCTCCTGAATCCCCTGAGGGACAGAAAGGGAATGGAAGCTGACTGGGGCATGTGCTGTGCAGGCAGCAGCAGGGCTGAGGGCATGAGAAAGCTCTGTCCCTGGGCTGGTTCTGCAGGGACAGAGAGCTCCCCCATCCCCTCAACAAGAAAAGCAAGGGGTGAGCTCAGGTTGCTGGTGCTGCTTGGCCATGAGGCATCACCCCAAACTAGCACTGCCAAGCCAAGCTGCAATCCTGAGCTCTGCACTGGAGCCATGGACAGCTTCTTCCAGACCCCTGAGGCCTCTTGCTGCCTAGACTGACTGGAAGCAAATTGCTCCTGGTCAGCATCTACACATGCACTACTGTGCAGTAGCTAATATGGTTAATCTAGTACCTGGATTTCTTGATATTAGCAAACTGCACACTAGCTTAATTTACTGCACAGTAAGTCCCACATACGTGTTGATGGTGACGCTTTACTATGCATTAGTCTAATGCACAATAAAGCATGTCATGTAGATGTACCCAGAGAGACAGAGGGATAGTTCTGTATATATATTTAAAGGACTAATTGCATTATTAACTTAACTTTCTAATACAAATATTTTGTAGTACTTACATTGGTAATGCATAAAAGAGCAAGTAGGAAAGTGCCAAAGGAAACACCAAAGGTGAAAAGTTTTCTGTGCCTCTTCAGAATCTGGAAATCATCTGCCAAACCAGTGATGACTGCTTCCATTCCACCCATCTAAAGAAAGGAATATGGCAATCTAAGTTAAGTAGTCCTGAGAGAGATTTGCCTACAAATAAGGATACAAATCAGAAATCAGCTTCTGACTCAGCTCTCCTCTCTTTGATTAGCTGTACTTCTCAGAGGTGGAACAGGGCAGTGGCCAATTTTTGCTCCCTCCCCCAAAGTCTGTGCCCTTTTCCCATAGTTATGTTACTGGTACATCTTCACTCTTCTGAAAAGGGTTTTATGGATGGAAGTTGTAGAAAGGTTGCAGGGAAGATACAGATATGTACCACAGAACCTGGGAAGATGCCCTCATGCTATCGTACATGCAGAACAAGCTTCTTATTTTAGATGCAATAAGAACCTGGAAAATCATAAGGAATTGAACACTTAATTCTGTGGGTCATCAAACCAATTGGAGACATGCTATGCTCTGACTCCTTGGTTCATGAAAAGTGTTTGGAACTTAATAGCAACAACAATTCTTGATGATAGTATTTGGAAGAGATATCATAGGGTTTCTCAAACTCATTTCACATATTTGTCTGCATAATTTTTAGGGGGAAAATAGAATCTGAAACTGATATAACTCTTCCTAACAGTATATATGAAAAACAGGTATGGTAAAATGAGGCTCCTTAAAAATCACCCAAGGAAATGCTTAGAGGAAATTTGCAATAAGAGTCTGTTTCTTCACCAACACACCTTTTAAAGAACTGGATTTAGGTAAAGACCAGGAAGCATTATTGAATAATAAGACTGATTTGAGCTATTCCTCTTTGTTTAAAAAAAAAAAAAATTCAGTGTACAGAATGCACCTATAATCTCACTGTTGATCATTCTCTCATTACTTGTATTGCCCATTGTGTAAGTGTTAAAAAAAATAATAGAAAGTAAATTTTCTTTGCCCCGTTTTTGTTAAAATGAATAGTATGAGAATTACCTAACATGACCATTCTTCAGTTTGGGATTACAGAGACAACCCTCACTCCTGAGAAGTTCATAGTAACAATAATTTTTGATGCCACCCTGTAATAATTCTTCAAAAAGTAAGAACTACACATTAGCCAATTTTGCTGTTAGAACATGTTGGCTGTTGTAGCTTATGCTTCAAGCTTTTGCTGATAGTGTTGCATTAGGAAGGTTCCTGCTATGAGCTTTATATTGTGTACATTTTGTGGGTTTTTTGCTCAGAAGGTTGGATCAAAATTAATTCTTGTCGCCTACTAGTTATTAACAAACAAATATCATGTATTGATAATCAATTGAGGAGATTGAAATATGGCACAATGTAGCGTATTTCCTGCTTGTGATATAAATAAGCCTGCTAGAGTGGTTCATAAGGGATTGTGTCCAAGGGTGATCTGGTCCTTTGCCCCACAGAGTTGGAAAGATCAACTGCAGAGTGGATGAGAGGAATTCTTTTAGATAATCTAACACTCCAGAGTTAGTGTGGGGTTTTGGCTGTGCGACTTCTATGAGCTTTGGTGAGTGCCATGTACCTAGAATTATGTTAATATTTGATGTTCTCAGCAAGCTTTATGAAATTGGCACTTGAACAGACTCAGAAGTTAGAAATGGAAAAAGACCCTTTGAATTTTCCTGCATCTGTCAGGTCAGGACTGTTTCTTAACCTAGTGTTTTGTTTATTTTGGTTGTCATTGTTTTATATTGAACTAGTTGCAACAACTGTTCACAAACAAAAACTCATTAGATAATTCCTAAGCCCTTTCATTTGTTGCTTCTTAACACTTAGATGATCAGATCGGGCAGGGAGTAGAAAGCCTGGAAATGCCTGTTCTTGGTGCGATAACTACCTTCATGTACCAGCAAGGGTTTTTATGCATGAATAAAGGTATTTGTATATTAGTCTTCATTTAGGTCTGTGTGTTAAGTTTGTTTTCTAATTGGGGGTTTAGGTGACATGGTATGCGGAGTGGATAGTCAAGGAGAATAGTTTAAAACCACTTTATAGTTTAAGTTTGCTTCAGTAAAACTGGTGAATAATTATGAACAGTAAACAAATTGGTAGACATCAAAATAAAAAACACTAAACAAAACACAGAGCTAAATTTGCCACAATTTGTGAACTCCCAATAATTTGATGAGGTCCAATCCTAAGTGAAGAAATGTCTGCCATGGGAGCATTCTACAATCTAAGGTCTTGATCCTGCAAACATGCAAGCCCTCACTTTGCTACTATGCTAAAGTTACATGTGTGCATAAGTGTTTGCAAGGTTGGGGTTTGAGGGTAGAAACAGATGTCGCCTTTCCTTGCCTTTGTGCTGCCATAATTTTTTTTTTTTGCCACCATAAAAAATAAATAAATAAATAAAAAAATTTACAGCATGTGTGTCCATAACTTTTGTCATGTCATATTGTGTCCACAACAAAAGGCAGGAATAAATCATGCTGCTTTATTATGATGGACATCTATTGTCTTTATGGCAGGAGAGTATGGGCAGCCCAGGGCAGCCCACACTCTCTCCCATTACCCCGGGCAGGTCTAACGTGGGCTTGAAGGGCCTGGGAATTCCCGTGCAGGATTGGACTCCTCAAGCCCTGGCCTCTTCGGACCACTTCTCTGGCAACAGGGAAAATGGGGCCACTCAGACCACCAGTCAGCTGATTGGCAGCCTTAGTTCTGGGACTGTGTATTGCACCAGTGTCCCAGTTTTCTCCACTTCCGGAGTATCATTATGCCCCTTTATAAATCCATGATGTGTCCACACCTTGAATACTGTGCCGAGTTCTGGTCCCCACACCTCAAAAAGGATATAGAAGAACTAGAGAAGGTCAACAAGGATGATTAGTGGTATGGGGGGGGGAGGGATATATGAGAGGCTAAATGCCTATTTAGTTTAGAAAAGACACATTCTGGGAGGACATAGGGCTTACAAAATACTACATGGTGAACAGAAAGTAAAGTGGGATTTATTATTTCTCACAATTCAAGAACTAGGGTGCAAGTCTACATGTGCCACGAGTGCCATCATTTAGTACTTCCTTTTGGGAAGTACTAAATTTTTAGGCATGTTGCTATAGGGATGTGCTATAATAAGGGGGTGCATTGCTATGGCAGTGTAGCTGTGGCATCACAGTTTTTGCCTGAGGATGCTATGTCGCTGTAGGAAGATGCTATGGTGACAGTGTCATGTGTAAACGTGCCCAAGGTTACAAAATGAAACTAGTATGGAGTAAGATTCAAACTAACAAAAGGAAGATCTTTTTCATACAGTGTGCTATTAAAGTATAGAACTCATTGTCATCAGATGTTGTGGGTACTGACAGTTTAATCAGATTAAAAAAAGGGATTGGACAAATTCTGTGAGCCTGTATTTCTCTTTTTAAATTGTAATCCATTATCCTAGGTCATTGTTGCCCTTGGAGTATGTTGAACTGTTCCTTTCTGACTTTCATGTTTGTTTACAACAGAAAGAGATGCAAACTAGAAAGCCAAATCAGATCTTGCCTCAAGCTTTTGGAATAATATTCCTGATCTCAGCTTCACAGTTTGATTCAATCTGTAACAGACCTGAATTGAATCCAAAACTACAAACACTTATTTGCAGAAGACTATCATAGCTTCCTTTATATGACTACTTCTTTCTATGGTCTTGTTCTCCTTGCTTATTTTCCCTTCTCCTTCCATCTCTGAAAATTTAATTAAGATTCTTTTCAGTGAGCATTTAGATGGAGCACTTGTTTGTCATGTCTTAAAATGATCTCCTAGATTAAGAGTAGACATTCTGAACTGGACAGGACAGTTTCTTTTTTCTTGGAAGTTTTTAGTTTGGAATAGTTAAACACTTCTTGTAACTAGGACTAATGCCTATTCACTGTTCTGTTCTTTAAAAGACCATATTTGCTTTTCCCAGAAGTAAATTAGCTTTTTAGTTGCATATAAAAGGAAGTCTTGATGCCTCTTTGGCAGGGGACAAGATGGATCAGATACTGTTAGAGTACTAGGAATATTTCTTGCGTGGTGAGGTTTCTGCAATTTTTTAAAATCTCAATACAATGAGCCTTCACTCTGTAGAAAATGCAAATATTCTCCCTCATGTGGAATAACATCCAGGTACCCAAATCTAAACTGGAATTTAACTGAAGCAGGCCTTCCTGCGGCTTATTACTTAACAATTTTCTAATATCTGTCGGACAATCCTGCATACATTGGATGTCTTTTGAAAGATAACAGTATAAATACAACTATTTTTTAAATGAATACAGTGAAGCTATTATATAATGTTTAACCTTGAAATAAGTTCCATATTAGTCAAGTAATGAAAGCTTGTGTGTCATGAGTACCCTTTCATTATGCCATGTAAAAAACAAACAAACAACAAAAACAAACAAATTAAAAACACTGTAGAAAACAAGTGCATCACAGGCAGGCTTAGGCCTCTCCAGGATCATGAAAAAAAAAAATCACCCTATGGTCTCTTCTGACTGCAATATACATGTGCTTTACTGCAGAGTTGACTTATTATCTCCACAGTAAAGTGTCACCATCTACATGTGGGCAGATATTAGAGCACAGTAAATTACTTAACTCAACCATAAAATAGTACTGTTGGGATAAGTCCTATCTTACGACAGAGTACTAAACTCTGCCAAAATGCACATGTAAATGGTGATGGGGGCTAGCCTGGGCACAAGGGTGCTAAAGTCCAGGGGCTGCCTGCTGCCTAGCCCCGCACTTTAATCACCCTGGTTTCTCAGCCAGCCCCTCTGCTGCCCTACGCCACCACTCAGAGCCCAGGGCTGACCCTCTGGCTCATCTGCCAGCCCAGAGCTGCTCCGCCCCAGCTCAAAGTGCTGCAGTCCCAGGCACAAGTGTAGACACTGCACCTTGCAGCTATCACATCTCCTTAATAAACACATGTAGATGCACCCAAAGAAATGAAAAGAATCCACAGAATGGGGCTTTGACACCTATTGGAACCAGACTAATATCTCCCCAGTTATTAAGATTATAAAAGGAAAATGACAAGGTTGGAAGAGAGGATACCTACTGAACTGTCAATGCCCAGTGTAAGCAGCATTATAAAGAACACCACTGCCCAAAATGTTGATCCTGAAAGGGTTGAAATGGCTTCTGGATAAATGATGAAAACTAAACCAGCCCCTGAAATGCAAGAAGAAAGAAAACATGTTACTAAGTATGGCTTTTCTTAGTTTCATACCTATCTTATATTGGTATCCATCACTATAGTATTTGAATCCCTTTTCCTTACTTAGTTTACTTGTTGTGTATACAAATCAGGGCACTCAATAAGCCATATTTACAGCTGAACTTTTGTTTAGTATCTTGTAGGACTATAATCCTTATCAGAGTGGAGATGTAGCTTACTAGATAAAACTAGTCATTAGTCACTAGTCATTTTCCAGCATTGCATATGGCAAAAGGGGATTACAGAACTCAATTTTTAATGTGCTGGATTTAAATCTGGGTAACCTGCTACCAGAGCAAATACAATGGGCAAGCTCACCAGAGACTGAACAGAATAGTTTTTAGGCAGCAAAAGATAGACCTGGCCAGAGTACTTTTCTCGAGAGATTACATTACCTGCTACAGAAATGATACTGTGAAGTGTTAGACATATCTAGTAAGGGTCTATTCAATAGAGCTGGGACTAACTGGCACCTTGCATAGTCCACATTTCAATAAAGTGTTTACATATGTGCTTTAAATTTTGAACATGAGTTGGTTGTCTCATTTGTTCCTCACTTTGGTGAGGTTACTCACATGCTTGATGAATTAAAACAGATCTGCAGAGCAGGCATTGGAGAAGTTGGTTACATTTGTTCGGAAAACAGGTATAAAATTAGCTTCCTACCTTCAGTGGCTACATCTTCGATTTTAACTTTGTGTTCATGAGCCATGTAGCCCAATATGGAGAAAATTGCAAATCCTGAGATAAAGCTTGTGACACAGTTAATTGTGCTCGTCAGCAATGCATCCCTATAATATTGGAGAAAGAAAAGAACAATCCAATGAAGAAGAAAAATGCTTGAGGAACTAGGTATGGATTATATTACCATGTTAATAAGGTTGTGGTGAAAAATGTAATTAAGCAATCATCCTGATGATCCAAAGCTTATATCAGCATACTGTGCTAGGAAATAACATTTTTATTTCCTAATTTGGTTTTAAATTAAGATGCATAAAAATACCTTTCTTTCCCCCCCACCCCTCAAAATCCTATATTAAATGGCAAGATGGTCCCTGTTGATGGCCATAAAGGAGCAGGAAAGGAGCCTGAAGTGGACAAAGGGCTATGCAGGGGAAAATTTTTTACTAGTGAATAACAACCCGTGTCTGAGCTTGTGCACATCTGCAGAGTATATGAGGGGTCCTTTTATATAGAACTGTGATACAATATGCAAGGTACTGCATGGAGTCTGTCTCACCAATCCTTTCAATTGAGCAGACCCATCAATTAAAACAAAACACCCAATGAGAGTGGAATTGGATCATGTAATTAGGCAAGGTATACGAGTGATAGTAATTATTCAACAAAGTTAATAAAGGTGTTTATCCTTCATTAATCTTCTATGCTTCTAGATCAATTATAAGACACCCAAAGGAAATGTCATATGGCCAGAACTAACCCCAAGATACAGCAGACAAGCTTCTTTTAATTTCAAAGGAGTTATTCATGCTAGCTAATCTGGCCATAATTTTCAATGTTAAAATGGTATATCTTAATTTGGTTATTAAAGTTGGGTTTTTTTTTTTTTTTAAAGAAGCAAAATATTTCTACGATTTTTATTTTATTTATTTATTTCAAAACGTCCAGTATTTATTAGTCATGTCTCTCAAAATATAAAGACATTGATCACAGTTTTTAGGTATTTATTGAATTCTGTAATAGGGAGAGTCAGATTTGGCACGTTTTCCCTTTTCCCATTGTAAAAGATGGATAACAACGAAATTTTATAAAGCTTGTAAATTTTTATAACACTCATGTTCTTTTTAGGTTTATCAATCTCTCCAACATCAACTTATTGTCATACACTTGCCTGGGTAACAGTGGAATTTCCAACTTAACATGACAATTGTAGAGAGCTACTGATGTTTGCCTTATGGTACAATATCAAACTACATGAGCAGTGAAAGGAATGTGTGATTCCTCTGACTTCAGCAACGTTAGGAACAGAACTGTGGGAATAATGGATTTTTTATTTCACTGATACAATGACCAAAAATGAACAAAATCCTGAGATGGAAATTGAGAGGTTTTTTTCATGAAGTGTTGATTTCAAAGCTATTGTTCCACCACATTAAATGTTTGAAATTTTGTTGATTTTTATTTTAATTTTTTCAGTGTTTTGATTTCAAAATTAACTTTTTTTTAAATTAATATATGAAAAAGATTTTGAGTTAGTCATCTGAAAAGGAACAAATGAAACAAAGCATTTAAATACATTAATCTTCCTCTTTTTTCAGCTGAAACTACTCTCCAAACTTGACATAAATTCACAACTAGTTTTGTACCCCTCAGCCACATGCCTTTTTGCAAATTGTTCCCCCTTTTCTTATTTCTGAAATGGCCTATCTCTAGTCACAAATCCCATTTTGGAATGGTTAGCTTCATGCTTTAACCTTTGGTATGAAATCCTCTACCTTTGTGGGCTTTTGGTTAAACTCAGATAAATCCAAACATTGTTTCCAAAACAGGTAATTTTTGCAAGGAGATCCAGTGGTGTTCTTCTGTTGGTTAAAACCTTGAAGACTGGAGGTCTAGTCACTGTGTCACCGTCTAGCTCAGTGATTTTAAGTCTATGCAGTGGCCAGAGTTCTCTCATCTGTCACACAAGGTTGCCAGCTTTTTGGTATTCTGGTGTGTGTAGACAGTTTAGTCCTACCTACAGTAATTTCTCAGACATGGCTCCCAGAGGAAGACTGTAGAGCCTGGAAAAACTAAATCAGGCTCATAAACACGTAAAAATAATCAGATTTTTTCAGGGAAGATTATGCTAAGTGTTTGTGAAACATTATGATCAACATCACCATTAACACTTCGCACAATTTAAAAACGTTCACATGAAAGTAGCCTGTTCCATTTGCCAGTAACTTATATGATCAAGTATCAGCTTATCTCAATTCAAGTTATATTTTTAAGTTGAAATAGATCTCCATTTAAAATCCTGTTTAATTCATACATTTACAATGCATCTACAGAGTTTCAGACCTTGATTCACCGTTGGATTACTCCAGTTTTACAACTGCATAACTTTGTTTTAGTGGAGCTACTCTTACATACAAGTGTTTCAGTGTAGTGGTGAATCATGCCTTTTATTTGGAAGCATGATACAATTTTCAATTTATTTTATTCCACTTCAACAAGGGCATTTCCAATGGAATTAAGATGACACTGACATAATTTGCAGTTATTTTACCAAATTGTGGATTCATTTAAGTGTCAATTGTCTTCAATTGCAGCTTGTTTATAGGATTAAAGATAAAGCACATTATTGTAGAGACACAACAGATAGCCGTTTCAAAGGAGAAGTATTAATGGTAAACAACCTCAGACAAGCATAATAAGCTCAGCACAATTTAATGTAATTTTGTATGCTGCCTTAAGGTTGTTTTTAAAAAAAAAAAAAAGAGGTTCATGGTGTGTTCCTTTTTCTGTTTCACTACAAATTTACTCAGGGTACAGAATAAGACAATTATACAGGATGAATCTTTAAGACATTTCCTAGGAGTCTCTAGGATGAATGTTAACTTAATTGTCAAAAGCAATAATTGCCACTTGATGGGATAGTTATTATTGCATTTTACCTGCAAGATTATTAGCTGTATTAATGTCACATAACAGGAATATCCACTTGGGAATCTAAGGGTATGGTCAAGCTTTCATTTGTAGTGCTACACAAGTGTTTCAGCACTTTGCAGTATTAGAAAAAAAAATAGTGCTACTGGCATGTACAGGTGTTCAAGCCCCCTGGCTGGACAGCTATAAAATTGCCTCAGAGTTGAGCTGTCTAGCCATGGAGCTTTTGTTTTGTTCCCCCTGTCTCCATAAAAGCCCATCAGTAAGGCAGCCAGGGCAGAAAGGGCTGGTATCAACTAAAGCTGTGCGAAGCTTCAGGTGCTTATTTGATTCAGAAGAGATTTGGCAGCCAAATCTCTGCATCCAAATCTAATCAGGAGACCAGTGAAAAGATCCGAATAGATTCAGAGAGCTTTGAATTGATTCACAGAGCTTTGGAGATTTGGGTAATCCCTGCTTGCTGCTGGGCTCCATGCTGGTAAGTAAGGGGGGTGGGAAACAGACCATGGGGGACCCCCCCACCAGGCCCCATCCCCTGCCTGCTGCACCAGCACCCCCCCCCCCCTCCCCGCCCCCCCCCCCCCCGTGGCTGTCCCAGCTGGCTCCAGCTCCCAGGTTTTTTTTTAAAGAAGCAAAAAAAAAAAAGAGCCCTGCACTCACTGGCTGAAGCAGCAACTGTTGGGGCATCTGGGGGCTCATTGCAGAGCCCCCCATGCAGCATGGGGAAGTGGGAATCACCCCCTGCCTGGCAACAGCCAGTGAATGCAGGGCTTTAAAAAAAAGAAAGAAAAGCTGGGATTGCTGGGGCTGAGCGGGGCAGCCATTTATGAGGCTGGGAGAGAGGGTGGGGGATGGGGCCTGTTTGATTCAGAGATTTAGCCAATTCAATGGTGGCCAAATCTCTAAATCAGAAATGGTCGAATCGATCGGGGACACTGATTCGAATCACTGAATCGAATTGCTGTCCCCTGAATCAGCCAAATCTGAATCCGAAGCAAATGCTAGCCGCTTTGCACAGGCCTACTAGGCACAGAAGTTTCACGTAAACCAACTTAAATGATCAGAAACTGGTTTAAACCTGTAACAGAAGAGAAGCTCAGTGCACATAAACTAATTTCAGCCATTTGGAAACTGGTTTATGATGAGCCTGGTTGAATGTCGTATCAGAATTAATTAAATTGGGTCAAACCAGTTTATGGAATTTCTGTCCCAGACCCCTTCCTGATTCAATTTAAAATCACAGTCCCCCAGCATTCCAGATGCTTTGCAACCCTGGGTGGGGCTGTGCTTTCTGCTCCAGAGAGCAGGGCTGGCCCCTTCTCTCTGCTCCCTAGCCTGATTAGGGGTTGGGGCATGGGCAGAGGCATAGCTCCCTGAGGTAAATGGAGCAGGGAGGGGGTTTATTCCCTCTCCTTCCCTACCAGGGGACTGAGACCCCTGTCACCTATTCCCCGCTCCCCAATCCAGTGGCAGGGCAGGGAGCATGGCCAGAGGCGGCTGGCATGGCCCCTGCCATCCACCTGCCTTGCCAGTGGCTGGGGCTGTAGGACTGAGCCCAGCCAACCGGGAAGTGCTGCTGAGGGTGGAAGCAGAGGGGCCATCCCAGGCTGGGATGCAGGGTCTGGGTCCTTCCCAGCAAGCTGCAGCTGGGGCTGGGTCCACGGGGGATGCATAGCTTCCTATGCCCAAGCTCAGCGGGGATGTCATGGAGCCACAGCCAGCTGGATAGGGTCCCACAGAGCAGTCCGTAGGGTCAGGGCCCTTCCCAGCCCTCTGTGGCTGTGACAGCCTGGCTCAGCAGTGCAGCACAGCACCTTCCTGGGCCTGCTTGGTGGCACTGGTGAGCACCAAGCCTGGCAGGCACCACCACCGTGCCCCCTGCCCTGTGTAGCACCTTGAGCTGCAGCCCTACAACCAGATACCCAGGGTACTTGGGAAGGCCCTACGGGGTTCACATAGGCAGGCGGGGATGGAGCACTGCTACTCACCACCTCACGTTACTACCTTCCAGGAGCAGGGCCATCTACCACCCTGTGCTGCTGCTGCTCTGCATCTGGCCATGTGCCACCCCTCCCCTCCCCCCTCAGCCCCTACTGTGCATCTGCCCGCTGGGGGTATACTTACTAAAAAAAAAAAAAGTGTAAAACCTCTGGCTTAGCAGATTCTTATTGCTGAGCTTTCAGTGAGGAGAGTTATTTAGTTTAACTTTTGGGTGGGTTGTTCCTTGTGCCCTAATTATCCACCAGTAATAAAACCACAATTTGGTTGCAATTAAATAGACTCTCTAGTGCATATTACAGTTGTAACTAGTAGTTCTGTGGCTAATAAAGAGGCAGAAAAGTAGAAAAATGTGTCAATTTATGTGTATGCATTAAAAAACATGCTTGAAAAATTAGATCTCATTTTAAATTCCTTATATTTGACTGAAACCTATAGTCAATTCACAACTATATGGTCAGTGTGTAAATAAAGTTAGAGTCTGAAATTTAAAGACTTTCTGTCACTATGAAAAATTGACTCTCTTACCTGTAACAGTTGTTGTCAAACTTATTGTAACTGGCAAATGCAATTAAAACTCCAAACCCAGCTCCTAAAGAATAAAATATCTGGGTGGCTGCATCAATCCATACCTGCACAGAGAGACCAACATCATTAGATATGTTAGCTCGGTCAAAAAGATAATATGAATGATGTGAAGAATTGCACAGCAACAAATAGCTTTGGAGATCTATGATCACAATTCATTAGTGACTATGACCCTAGAGCCCTATAGGTTCCCTGGCCTATCAGGAACCAGGTCATAGGCTGTAATCAAGTATTACATGGATTCAACTCCAAAGCAACAGATGAAAACTAAATGTGTGCATTGTATCGTTACTGGTTGGCTCTCTTATTTAATTTACATAGAGTGATGCAATGATTAAATAATTTTTCTCCAGCCTTAAGGCAATAAACTTCCTTCTAGTTCAGGGTCAATTTGGAATGCACTGTCAGAGAAATAAAAAATTAACAGGTCAGGATTTACAGACTTTTCTTTCCCCATAAAACAGCTTGCAACTGTAATTATATAATGCTTGCTTCCTTCAGAGGCTGAAGCTTGATTCACATGCTATGAAAAGGATCATCTAAGGAAACTTCATTTTCATTACTCATTCATTTGGAGAAGCAGGAATTATTCTTATGACAGTCATTAAATTCCACTTTGGCTGGAATTAAATTGCTTTACAATTGCCTAATCCGAGTAAAATAGTTCCCAACACTTTAAGAATATTGTGTTTTCTAGTGCTCCCCACCTCTTTTTTTCATGCAGTGCCATAAATAAGCTCAAGTATACTCGCCCATTGGAGTTTGCTGAAAGATCATGGGACTCCACAAGCCTAGCTGGAGCCATGGGTTTCACCTGCTTTGGGTTTTCAATGCTGAACTTTCACACAGAACTAACTTTGGCTTATTACAAATAGGGCAGAGACAAATTCTCTCTACTGCCATGTGCAAGGGAACCAAATAGCCAACAGTGTGTGTTGTATAGCCAAAAGCCATTTCCTAGCCCACTGTGTCCATCAGACTTGCATGGATTTCAGTTGCATTTGGATCAGGCCCACTGAGCAGAAAACAGTTTAACTGGATTTTTAAAAATCCTTCACAATGATGTATTAGTTGAAAAAAATATGGTATAGAAACTCTAGCATTTGCTTATGTTATTGTATAACAAACATGCTGGGCATCTATGACATTCCAAAATTACAGCTCATGGGAAAAATATAGTTATCTGGGAGCACTAGAAAATTAGGGACTCAGCTATCAACAATAATTTAACTTTTCCAGGATGCCTTGATATCAGCTGCTATTGCTAATTATAGTCCCTAACTACCCACTCACTGGAAAAATTGCAGACTATGCAAGTACAAGGAACTGTACACCAGAAAATGCTTGCATTGCTTTTTGATAGGTCACTGTCTCTTTAACAACTTTGTCCCTTGCCACTAAAGTTTTAACGATTACCGGCCTTGTTATACTTTATGCTATAAACTGCACAAATGTTGATCAATGTTAGTGCTAGCTTGGAGTTTGGAGCAGTTATCCTTAATCTAGAAGCTTTCTCTGAGTATCCCCAACTTGCATAGCTATGACTTGCTACTAGGACTAGGCACATACATTGCACTTTACTAGTATAAGTGATCACCAGAAACTGATCTATACCCATAACAGAACAGAATTTTGGCACGTACAGATTGGTCTAAAAACAACAGAACCCCCTACCAAAGGGTGATGTGTTCTGTTCACCACCCATCTAAACTGCACTGCTTACAGAAACTGCATAACTTATATTCAAAAAGGCCAAGGTGGAATTGATCTTTGTACCTAGCCTAGAGACCTGGTGAACAATAGGACTAGGAGCGGTAGTTGTGCCTTGCCACTAGAGGGCTGGTGAGCCAGGACAGGGTTCTAACCCTGTTCTACAGGTTGGGGTGTGAGAGATCCTGGGATACTGTAGGACTTCAACTTGGGTGTCACACCCACGGGGAGTGGCCACACCTTAATGGAACAAAAGCTGGGTAGTACGGATCAGAGAAAATGCCGCCCTGAAGTAGTGTAACTTTTAGCCACATAACAAGCCCTTGTGTTATCCCAGTCAGTTGGTGTGGAAATCCTGGTGAGGAATAAGCAACGTAAATTAACATTTTGTACAAAACACTCCTTGTAATAAACAGGATGCAACACAGAGATGGGATGGGAGGAGCAATTCTTCTGTAATTTATGCTGATGTTTCTCTGTTAATTGTAGTGGAGTTTCTTTTGACTCATGGAATTATCTAGTTTACTGGATGGTGTGCTATTGTATTTATTTTTTATATCCATTCCAAAAAATATTTTATAGGGGATTGTAGCCAGTCTTTCATGCCCAACTTCCTTCCTGCTTATTTTTACTACAGTAAGTTTTGCACACACATATTTTCTTACATTTGTGAACTGGAAGAATTACTGCACAATACAGAGAAGAAGCACTGTATGAATCCCCAGATATGATATAACATGCAGGAAATTTCTTATGACGTGCAAAGGTGTAAATGCCCCCTTCCTGTCCTACATTTCCTAATGGGACTGATTTCATTCAGCATTTATTGCTATTTTTTTATTGTGAAACAGAATTTTAGGACATGTTTTAGATCATCATTTATAAGTGACTTCTTTTGATATTTTTTCCCTTTTGTTGCTAGTCTTTGTTGGAAGAAAAAAAGTTCAGAAGTCAAGGACTTGCAGGGACACACCGACATAGCACCAAGGTAGGAGTCAAACCTCCCAGAGGTCCAACAAGGATTAAAACACGCAAACATGTCAATAGAACCAGCAGAGGGCCCAGTTTCCTCACAAGAGATGAAGAATGCCTAACATGACAGGCTACTCAGACAACTTCCCCTTGTAAGCCATCTTCCATCTTTCACAGTCCTGCAAGAACTTTTTTTTTCTAATCTTCTGAAAAATGTAGTCTTATAAATGGATGATTTTATGGCTTGCTAACAAGCAGGTGTAGAAAAATTAACCTCAAAAGAGTAAAGTACAATACAGCATACCATAAAATGCAGAAGTCGTTATGAGTACTGAGGTCCAGCTCCTGAGCTGTTGTAATTCAGCATAGTTCCATAAGCTTTCAGCTGAGGATCTAGCCTGAATAAACATTCTTCAAACATCATTTAAAATGCTGAGGAAAGTGAAATTTCTCATGTGTTCCCCCTTGCCTCTGCATTTTTATACACATGAATGCTTGCACATGTATACACGCTTCTGTATAGTACATGGTATGCAGAAGCATACTGCACTGGTGACTAACAGGCTGCCCTCCCCAGCACCATCTTTTGCGTTAAATGGGTCACCCTTGGAGTCCCCTTAAGGATTCTCGTGTCCTGCTCTCTACTCGCCTGCCACATCTTGATGGAAATATTATCTTGTAAGCGGGAGGCTGCCTATTGTTTTTTGTATGTTGGGGTCCTCCGCCACCACTGGCCTTGACCCCAGTCTTTCTTTAGCTAGGCCTCCCCATCTAAACTCACCAGATAGGGTTGGACTCTAAGGCTCTACCTTTTTAGTCTTGGGGCTCGTGGCCCTCCTTTTTGCCCCAATCTGGAACCCAGCCTCCCTGGCCCAGAGGCCTGTCCACTGGCCCCCCCAGCCAGAGGGTTGCAAGTTTGAAGCCAGGCAACGGCCCTGACTCCACTGTCCCAGTAAACCCGGGTGCACCACGCCACCCTAGCCTTTTAGGATTGGCCTCTGGTGCCAGGCCTGTGCCCCTGAATACTGCACCCTCTCTGTTGCTGGACCTGTGCACCCCAAATACTGCACCCACACTGGCACCAGAGTCCCCATGCTATAGTGGGGTCCAATGAGGCCTTCCCCCTTCCTCAATAGCCCCACCCAAACCACCAGTGTTATTTAATAACAAAAAAATATGTGAACAGTCCTGTCCATGGGCTATAACCACCACCAAAAAATATGGTTAAAGAAGGCAGCATGCCAGCTTACATTTATTCAGGGGTTTGTGCTTCTGCTCCCCACCATTGGCTACAGTCCTTCTTCTGGGGTTGCTGCCGCTTCTCCGGGGTCCTCAGTAGTCCCCCTCCTCCAGCCTTTGGGCCACTCACCAAGACTCTCTGTGGAGCTCTTATACACACTCCTTCCCCTTAGGCTGCTGGCCCCCTACTGCTGCCCAGCCCAGGGTTTTTATAGTTCTGGCCTGCCCCCTTCCGGTCACCTGACTGGCTGGCCTGACTCACCTCTTAACCCCCACTTTACCAGCACACTGTGCCCAGAAACTTCTGGTTTTAAAGGAGATGACCTGCCTTCTGGTAACAGGGAATGTTGTCTGGATCTGGATTTTGACCACTCCAAGGTAGATTAAATTGATATTTGGGATTTTCATGATGTGCTACACTACGGTGTCTGTGAGGGAACCTGAATATTGATTATACATCATTCATAATATTAACATGACAAAAAAGCAAATAAATAAATTAAGGAGGAAAGGGATTGTTTGAAAAACCATATACAAAATGTCTCTGGATTTTTATATTCAGGCTGCCTATGGACTTTGTCTATATTCTTAGTTATTCAGGAAAGTGAGTCAAGTAAAGTAAAAATATGATGAGATTAGAGGGCTCCTAGACAATAGAGAATAGGGGCATGTCCCTGGGGAGAAGGAACTGCTATGCCAATTCATTTTCTTTTTATGACATTTATATTTACTTTTCAATGGTATGTCTGTTTGAAAAGCAGTTAAGATTTTTGTATTGGCCCATGTTGAAGGAATGCCTTTGCTTCTGCATGCCAAGGTAGTGCTTAGTATCCTTTTAAATAAAAATAATTAAAAAAAACCAAGTCTAGAGTTGAAAACTGTGGTCATTAGATCCCTGGGCTCTGTGAATATTGAAACACTAGGGTTAGGGACAGAAGTTACACATAAACCAGTTTAAGTGATCAGAAACTGGTGTAAACCTGTAACAGAGCATAAGTTCAGTGCACATAAACCAGTTTCAAAATGGCTGAAACTGGTTTAAGATAAACCTGGTTGAATGTAGTATCAGACTTAACTGACTTGGGTCAAACTGGTTTATGGAACTTCTGTCCCAGAACCCTTCCTGGTTTAAGTTAAATCACAGTCCCCCAGCATCCCAGCATGCTTTGCAGCCCTGGGTGTGGCTATGTTCTCTGCTCCAGAGAGCAGGGCTGGCCCCACCCCTCGGCTCTAGCCTGGGCAGGGGCAGGGGCATGGCCAGATGCATGGCCCCCTGAAACAAAGGGAGCAGGGAGGGGGGTTATTTCCCCCCCTCTTACTGTGTGACTGTGACCTCTGTCAACCATTCCCCCCCTTCCCTATCCAGCGGTAGGGCAGGGAGCATGACCAGGGTCAGCTGGCATGGCCCCTGCCATCCACCTGCCTCCCCAGGTACAGGACTGAGTCCTGCCAGTCTGTGAGTGCTGCTGAGGGTGGAGGCAGATGGGCTAGCCCAGGCTGGGCTGCCAGGGCCGGACCCTTCCGAGCAGACTGCAGCTCAGGCTGGGGCCACAAGTGCTGCATGGATCCCTGTGTCCAAGCCAGGCAGGGCTGTCATGGAGCACAACTGACTGGGAAGGACCCTGTGGGGCCAGCCTGCATGGGCAAGGCCCTTCCCAGCCCACTGTTGGTTGTGTGACAGCCTAGACTGGTAGCATGGGTGGGGGCTAGCTGGGGAGTGGGTTTCCCAGGCCAGATCAGAGATGCCAGTCAGCCCTGAGCCCAGCAGCCACCACCATGCCCCCTATTCTGTGCAGCAGCCAGACCTGCAGGCGCACAACCAGTTGCAGGCTGGCCGGGGCTGTTTTGCCCCTCTTGCCTCCAGCTGCCACAGCTATGCCACACCACTCTAGGTGGCAGGGAGGGGGACAGGAAGATTCAGCTCTGTGGCTTCTGCCCACTGCGTGGAGCTTGGGCTTCAGTCCCCAGATGCCTTGGAAGGTGGAAGGCATTTGGGTGAAAGGTGTCCAGGGGCTACAGACAGAGCTCCATGTGCTAGGCAGAAGCTGCTAGGTCTGGCAGGGCTGTTTTTCTCCCCTCACCTCCAGCTGTGGCTCCTGCTCCTGTTGCAGAGTGCAGCACTGATTGGGATGGGGGAGCTTCCTTTAGCCTGTCAGCTTCAACCTGGGTTGGGCTGAAGGAAGCTTCCCCAGTCCCAAGTGGCTTCCCCCCTGCCCCTCTAGGCACAGCCTGACTGGGGTCCTTACAGGCCAGAGGTGGGGTTTAAACCCCGCAAATCATACTGGCCAGGCCCCCCAGGTCAGCTCCCCATCAGCCTTATGGCTGCTGCAAATGGAAGGGAGGGCTGCTCTAGTGCCCCCCAGCTTCTAGCCTGAGCCACTACAAGCATGTGCCTACTTTTGCCTGCATTTCCAGAATTAAATATGCATGTCTGTGCACTTGCAAATCAGTTCAATCTTTGCAGTTTAATTTAGGCTCTGGCTTTTTGAATGTCTATCCCTAGCCTAGGGGTTTTATAATGGTTTGAATGAGTTGGTCTGCAGATATTTCTTAACACTGCATGGTGATGGAAAAACTTAATTCTAATGTATGGTAGATTAAATGTTTTCAGGCAGCAAAACCTTTGGGCAGTTGTAGACAACATGGGGGTTTAAATTGAAGTGGTGGTTTTTTAAACCCTTGTGTTGTGTACATCCATGTCCTTACCTGCCTCTCTGGCCACGGGGAGGGGAGAGCGAGCTGCCAGTGGGCCAAGCAGTCCCTGAGCTGCAGGGTGGGGGGAGGCTGGTGCTTCCCTCCATGGCAGCAGCGACCCCCCCACCCCTAGCAGCACCTGCTCACAGGCACCCAGCTCAGGTGGTCCCATGAGGCACTGAAACTATGGAGGGAAGCACCAGTTTCCCGCGCAGCTCAGGCAGGCAGGCAGACTCCAGGGAAGAAAAAAATAAGATCAAACTTACCACTTTTTTTTTCTTCTTCACTGCAGCCTGCCTTCCTGGGCTGCTGCCGGGCTGCCTGCTGGGGCTGTCTGCACAGTTTCTGAGCCTCACAGAGCCCGGTGATTCCTTCCATGGCTCTAAAGTAGCAAACTAAAACTTGTCGGAGGTGTTTTAGTTTGCTGCACCCCAAAGTCATTTGCTGTACCACAAAGTCATTTAAGGTGCATTACACAGCCGAATTTGCTACAGTGGCTGGAATTAATGCACAATACGCCGCTGAATTTGCAAACTTGTGCAAACAGCAACGCCATTAAAACAATGCGAAAGGGCATTTAACCCACTTTAATGTATCATCTACAAATGCCCTTTAATTATTATTTTGGCCTCAGATCAGGCCATGTTTGGCTATATTTGCTATGACTGGCTTACATAGCTTTTGAATTGTATTGAAAAGTCTCAGTCATTACAAAGTGCTGTAAGATGATTTGCACTGAATTAGTCCTAATTTATTAAAGTTATTCTTTATTACTATGGGGCAAATCTCAGTTCAGATACTTACCTGTCACAACCCAAAGGTGTGATTTTTGTTTTGTGTGTGCTTTGGCACCACTGAATTATGTTCCCGCTAAATTGCAGCTTCTTTGCACGGTGGAGTTTTCTGCTGCAGAGGAGAACCCCGGTGCAAAAGAATTCCCTATAAAAAGCTTAAGTGGTTTCCGCCCAAGCTGGAGGACTCCACGAACACCGGGAGGAGGAGACTTCACGCTGTGTGAAGATCTCTAAGCGCTGCGGAGCCTATTGGACCCAGTGCATTTCAAGCAGGCAACAGGGGTCTGATCAGCCTCTAGCCTCTCCCCGTCACCGAGCACAAACCTCGATGTATCCCTCTCCCTGCGCGCACAAGTTCCACGGAGCCTAGCAAACTTCGAGTGAGTCTATTACAAGTTCCACGGAGCCTAGCAAACTTCGTGTGAGTTCGAGTACTTTCTTCGGTTGGCGCGACAGGCTCGCAGTTTAGAGCCTCCAACCGGATGGGCTAGAAGAATGTTCACGGGAAGGAACTCTAGTCCGCCTCTCTTCTTTTCTATCTCTAACTGTAACTCAAGCAAGTTTTCCTGCCTGCACCGTGACCATCTTCGGTGTAAGTAAATAATCTTTAAATCAATCATTACGTGTCCGTGCCTAATTCCAGCGTGTTGCCTGTTTTCTCCGACCCAGCGTGCCCAGGCTGCTGGCCACAGCCTGCGCGGCGCAAAAAAGGGCCCGGCCCGCTCCCGGCCCGCACATTACCCAAAAGCTTAAATGCCTACTCAAACCAGAAATACTTCTAAACTGATTTCTTTCCATGAAAATTTTCATTTCCAATGAAAAGCATTTGCATAGAAATGCATTTGTTCCAGTGACAGATGTCATCAGTCATGATTTTTATTACTAGTGCTTGGCTTAAATCATGATTTTGCTTTTTTTTTTTTTAAATCATGAAATTAAGTGATTTTCACAAAAATGCAACCTGCAACTTTTGTTCCCCATGAACTGGCCATATCCCAGCATTTTACTGCAACAAGATGGCTGCTGCATGCTGGGGAAAGCATTCCCTAGCCAGCAGCAAAAGCCGAGCAGCCTGGGGGAAGGGATTGCAAAGGGGATGGAGAGAGCTTGGGAATGGGTAGGGGATGGGGCTGTTTGCTTCTCCAGCTGTGAAAACTTGGTGTGGGAGGCAGGTGGTGCCTGGGGCCATCAGCCAAGGCTGCCCCTGGCACCAGGGGGAGGGTCTGTTTGCTCCTCCAGGCCAGAAAACTAGGGCACTGGGACTTGGGGGTGGGGGGGAGGGAACACGTGTGGAGAAGCAAACACCCACAATCAGGGGGCATGTGGGGCAGCCACGGTCTGGGTGGAAAAAATGGTGGCCCCCACCATAATTGGGCCATGATATTAGCAAACTGGGCCCTTGATTAAACCAGGCCCTATTTATTATATTATAGCATCTATTCAACCTAGCGGTGCAAAAAGCAGCTCTTGTTATCTGAGTATTTCCCCAGCCTCAGGGAGCTTTCAGCTGGTTCAGCCAGTGCAGCTAGCTTTTGCACATATTCAAACAGGAAGGAAGTCATGAGAGAGAAAGGCACAGTTAGAACATGTACCTTTTTTATGGATTACTTAATGCTAGATTACATTGGAACAGCCCCAGGGTTACCTAAACTATTATAGTAATCACAGTGGTGCAGATCCATTCTGATATTGGCTTCCTGGTGCTTCCTTCAGTGGTAGAGAGCCAGCAATTCAGGGCATTGGAGAAAGCTGTCTAATGTTCTTGTTAAGACAAATATATAAATATTTAACTTTAGAAACAAATACTAACTATCGAGTAGCAGCTTCCATCATTAATTTGGAAACTGTTATGGATTGTGGTTATTATTTCAATCTAGGAAGTGAAAATGATGGAGAAAACTTACTGTAGCTTCTTTTAATCTTCTGAAATCTATATGTAGGTATGCATTTATCCCATTGTATGCACCAGGCAATGTTATTCCATGTACTAACAATACAAATAGTACAACATAAGGCAAAGTGGCTGTTATCCACACAACCTGGAGGTAACAAACAGACACAGAAGTTAATTAAGCAGCAGGAAATCTTATAAATGTGCTACAGAATATTGCTCTCCCTATAGTTGCTTATTTCTCATGTGTATAGAGGACCTCTTGACTATTTATCACATGGTAGGGGTGTCAAATTCATCTTGTGCTCTGGGCCCATGAGCTCCTTGTGTGCTGGATCCAGCCCACAGCCCAGGGTTGTTCCAGCCCGGGCCATGCAATAGGGGTGGCAGCTCTGGCTCAGACACAGGGCATGTGATGCAGCTGCAGCTTTCACCATGTGCCCATGACAAAGCTGGCACTGCAGCTGCTGTATGCCCCATGTTACAGTTGCAGCTCCATCTCCAGCATGGGACTAGAGGAGGTAGGGCCACAGCAGTGACAAAGGGTGAGGTGACCAGAAGGCAACTGGGGCATATCAGACCAATTACTGTGTCTACTAGAGCCCAAGGGCCCCAAATTTTGAGGCATGTCACTCCTCTGGGCCACCCCCACCCAACTTCTGGGCAACTGGTAGCCTGTCAGGCTAGATAGAGCAGCTCCATGGACTAGATATGGCCTGAGGGCTGTATGCTTGACACCTCTGTCATAGGGTACATTGTTTTTATGAAAACACAGCTCAGTCACACTGACAATAAAGAGTCCCATATGACATTATATGAGCATGCGAGTCCGGGACTGGTTTGGCAAAGAGAAGATGTGTTAAAGTGACTATTCTAATGTGGGTATCAAACTCCTAAGCATGCTCAGTGTGAACTATTTCCATAAGTATGAGCAGACACTAACTTACGTTTGATATAAAAATGAAAAAGGGTATATAGTAAGAGTTCTTAGTTGTTTACCAAACTGAGAATTTTTGGAGGGAAATAACTGCATTTGTGACTCCAACTCCTAATGTGTCTGTCATCATCCATTTCTACAAATGAATGCGGTACAAACTCAATGTGGAAATATGGAAAAGCTGGGAGTTAATCAAAATATACAGTGCAACTAGTGTCTTAATTCTATAATTGTAACAAAAAAGACAAATATAAACCAGCAATGCATTAATTCATAGTGGTTTAAATTAAATCAGAAAGTATGAAATTTATGGGTTGCTGAAAAGTTTTAGGTGGCAGCTAACACTTCAGAAACAAAAATAATCTGAAATTCAAAGGTTAGTAACATCTTTTCAACTAATAGGTATTATCTAATGTCATCATCTCAAACTATTCTAATTGTGTGACAAGTAAGGATCCAGGTTTTTTTAACGATTCTTGGCGCCTGGTATTTTAGGTAATTGCTAAAATCTTTGGCAGTGATAAGGTGTTTACAATTTTAATGAATGATTATTAACTAAAACCAAAGGTCCATAAGCACTAAAATAAAATGTTTATCAAGATTTGTAAAGAGTGAGAGATGCTCCTACATAGGCATTCAAAATGACATAAGTTCAAAGGAAAAGATTCCCAATTACTTCAGTGGTTTTTGGGTCAGACCACTACTATTTCATTTTCTAAAAGGGACAAAGATGATGACTGAAGTGCAGGGAAAATATTAGCTCTACCTTTCCTGATGTCTTTACACCTTTCCACAGACTGAAGAAAAGAATTATTACCACCACCAACAGGCATAATGCTAGCTGCCATCGAGGTGAGCCAAGGTCATGGATGCCACTGCTTTCGTGCAGATGTAGAACTCCTCGTCTAGACCAAAAGGAAAGAGGTAAAGAAGAAGTTAGGTCACTGAAAAAATGTTCTGCCTCATTCACTGTACTATAGGTAGGGATCTATTTAATTCATGGTTTTGAGGAAATTGTGAGATCCAGGATTGTCCAAGAAATCCATGAAATCAACAACAGCAACAACTTAATAAAATGCTGGCTCCTCAGCAGAGCCAGAGGTCCTTGCTGCCAGCTGGTGGGGTGGCACAAAGGGCAGCAGACAAACGGTGGCTGCCCCTTTGTCCTCCCCCCCCAGGGACCTCTCTGCCAATCGGGTCTGAGGTGTGGGGCTACTGTGAAATGATTGTGGAATTAGAACTTTACACTGTGATCAACTCACAAAAATTGGTAAGTCCCCCTGCAATTTCGGTAGACTCCCTAGCTATAGGTAGACTTAGTAGAAAGGAAAATTGCACTGGAATATCAGTAGTTTATATGATTATGTTTCTACTAGAGCTGGTCAATATTGAAAAAAAATATAATTTTGACAACAAATTATTGAGGATTTTAAAACGTTAACCCAAACCACAGAAAAAAAAATACTGCATTTGGGGCCATTTTTTCTCTTCATTCATTACCTTTATATACTGTTTTCAACAAAGTAGAAAGGAATAAGCAGCAAGAACCAAATGTCTTCGTTGATTTCTCTTCCCTCCCATTTTTGACCAGTTTTGGATGCACAAAGATTGTTTTTAAACCCTTGCAGCCACCAACATGGGTGTTCTTTGAAGGCTTTTATTATGATATTTTTCATGTCATTTTCATATTAACATGAAGCCTGCATTGAGCTTTCTCCCTATTCCTTGCACTGTGACTTGGACCAGTTACTTAATCTCTCAGTGCCTCTCTATTTAGAGTATGATTTTCAAGGCAAGTGCTGTGTTTCTATGGGTCTGTAAAGTGCCTAGGGCAATGGGTGTTTAATCTCAGTTGGAGATCTCAGTGGAAGAATGATGGTTTTTTATTAGAAGGTCTTGAAGATCTTTATAAAGCCCAGCTAGGTATTATTACAGGTGGACAAAACTGAAGGACATATTGAATGACTCACCTGAGGTTACACAGGATACAGCTGTACTGCCTCTGTGGTGATCCAGAGGCCACGGCTGAGAAACAAACCCTGCCCACTTGCTCCTTGCTGCACATGCTTTTTGCCACACTTTTTTTGCTGGATACCTAGCAATGCTTTCTGGATCTCTGTCATGGACACACTCTTGAAAGTGGTCATGGGCATACCTGAAACTGCTCTAAACATGACCAGAAATTTTTTTTCAGCATTCCTTGTACCACAGGAACCAAGGGGATAAAGTGTGTTTGTTGGCAGCAGTCCTGGGGTCACCACTGAGGCAGTATATACTGTATAGTGATGGGCAGTGAACTAGGGATAGTGTTCTTAGAGTTTAGTCACTATGATAACTATCAGAAATTTCCCTGTTAGACACCATTTTCTAGTTAATTTAGTAAGCATATTTTGAATTGAATAAGCCCTGGAATAAGGGTATGTAAAACTGCCATTTTAAAGAGAGAGAGAGAGTTTCATAGTTGGGATAGGAGCCAGCACCACTTCTCTTGGAAGTTGGTCAGGGCAGGTAGGATCTGGAACCAACTTCCAAGAAAAGTGGTGCTGGCTCCTACCCTGGAGGTCTTTAAGAAGAGGCTAGATGAACACCTTGCTGGGGTTGTTTGACCCCAGTACTCTTTCCATGGCAGGAGGTCAGACTTGATCTGCTCAGGTCCCTTCCGACCCTACCAACTATGAACTATGAAACTATTAAACTCTCTCTCTCTCTCTCTCTAAAATGGCAGTTTTACATACCCTTATTCCAGGGCTTATTCAATTCAAAATATGCTTACTAAATTAACTAGAAAATGGTGTCTAACAGGGAAATTTCTGATAGTTATCATAGTGACTAAACTCTAAGAACACTATCCCTAGTTCACTGCCCATCACTATACAGTATATACTGCCTCAGTGGTGATCCCAGGACTGCTGCCAACAAACACACTTCATCCCCTTGGTTCCTGTGGTACAAGGAATGCAGAAAAAAATGTTCTGGTCAAGTTTAGAGCAGTTTAGAGAGAACCCCTCTCAAATGAAAAATGTCTTTCAATTAATTATTTAAGATACAGAAATGCTCTAGGAAAAACAGTCCATTAATATAGAACTCTGATATTATTAAAGAGTTTTAGTCAATGCCAAGTCAAAGCTTCAGTTCCTCACAGCATCAGGAAATGGTTGGTTAAATAATATATCTGTTTTGCTTTACTAGCTCACCACATCTAATAGAAAGGAAGTGCTATAATCTTTTTAGAATGGTTCTTTCATTTCAGTATTAATTGGATGAAAAACGCTTTTAAAGGCATCATGTCAAATTAAGTAGTCGATCTGTTTTTCTTTTATTGTAGGGCTAGCAATGCATAAGCAAGGGAAGCATGTGGATCAATGTGTATGGGGCACACAGTCAGAGATCTTCCATTGTTAGAAATGATGGTGTGAGCTTTGTTTTATTTTTTCAAGAACACCTAATAGCTAAAACCTGCAAAAACACAATGAAGATTGAAGACAAACTTCTAAATATGCTTATCTGAAAAAGGTTTCTTCAACCAAATGTAACTCTACAAAAGGACTGGGCTCATTCAAAGTCAACCTACCACTTCTCATCTCAAGCCACATCAAATATCAGATGTTCAAGGTATATCTACATTGTAATCCAGGAAAATGTGATTGTAGCTCGCATAGACGTATAGGAGCTAATTTTAATTTCACTACTTAATGTACTGTTGGCATTGAATCTGTGCCAATATGCTTAATGTGGACTAGTTTGACAGCTCACATTGTACCTTGGGCTACTCTAGCTACATTTATCTGTATTCAAGCTTGCTGGTTTAAAGCTAACTTGGGTAGGTCTACACATGCTGAAATCACAGTTTTCAACTGCAGTCTGGACCAACCCTCAGAAAAGTTAAACTTGATCCTACTTCCATTACCCCCCTTGAACTGTCAATTTGTGCAAGCATTCTTCTGAATCATTAAATGTGTGTATTTCCTTGGTGTTTACTTTCTATGAATAATCTAGCAAATTAATTTACTGGTAGGACCATTTAGCCAGAAGAGCAATTCTGTATCTGGGCCTCCAAGCATTTGCACTGGAAGCTTGTAGAAGCTTGATTCTAAGAAGTCTGTTTCTTTAATTGGGGAAAAAGTAATCATAAAACAGGAAATAGAAACATAGCTTTGTGTTGAATAAAATCAGCTGTCTTCCTGAGTAGAAAATGTTAATGTCTGTAGAAAATTCCTGTTCAATATACAGAACGCTTAGCATCTCTGATATCATAAAAATTTTTAACCTCTGCAATTATATGACCATTCAGTACATGGTAACTTTCTGTAGCATGCCCTTGGCTGGGAAGTGCTAAGTGGTCCGTGAATGCAGTATAGCTGCATCACTTAGTACAAGATCTAGTATTTAGCTTGTGCTTTGCAATTAGACTTGCCGACAACAGGAGGGAGGAAAGCAGGGGGACCTAACCAAGTGTTTGCTGTGATAAGTTTGCCTGGCATGTTTCCAAATCTAATTTTTCGGGCTCCATCCAGAAGAGCATGATGTTTGTTTCCCTGGGGACACATAGCAGCGGCACACCTTGTGCTGCTACTACTTGTTCCTGTGTAATGCCCATGCCATGTGCACTCTGGTACACAGCAGATTACCTCAGGTGGGATAGGGGAGGATAGGGCCAGCAACTGTGCTAGCCCCAGTAGCCTTACTTGATGCTCCTGTAGCGTGGCTTCAGCTGGCCAGTCTCTGGTTTTGGGCAGTGTACACTGCTGCCACGTGCGCTGCTCCACTTTCTTTGAGGTGGGTTTTTTTTTTTACCCCAGAATTTCCCGGGGTCAACCCCTCCCTCCCACTCTACATGGGATAATGCGATGGATGGGAAATGCCTGCATTTGTGGGTCTACAGTGCGACATACCACATGTCCATGCTTGTCTGGACACAGCCTTAGGGTTCTTTAAAAGTTTAGGTACTGTTTTTGATGAGGTACAAGCTTTGTAGGAAACCAGTGTGTGGTTTATTAATGTTTGACTACTATGAAACTAGAGACAACAGAAAACCCAACTAGTGGTCCAGTTCTGTCTCCATTCTTTCCATTGTATAGTGCTTTATTTTACTAGTTATTCAACTGATTTTGAGTTAAAGCAGCATATAGAGTTTGTAAGGCATGTGGAGGCCAGCTGAACTGAGGGAATCATCATCATATTCCTTCCACTAAACCCAGCCATAGGTGTCATTTAGTGTATACAACCATTTCCTTTGCACCAGATAGAGAGGTGAGAGATACAATTTACGAGCTTCTTCAGATTTCTCACCCCATGCTCATAAAAAAACTAGGAGACTGCGGCATTGATGCCCACACAGTCAGATGGGTGGCAAATTGGCTTGGGGGTCACACGCAGAGAGTGGTGGTGGATGGATCATTTTTGACCTGGGGGGAAGTGGGCAGCGGAGTCCCCCAGGGCTCGGTCCTTGGGCCCGCTCTGTTCAATTTCTTTATCAGTGATTTGGACGATGGGGTGAAAAGCAACCTGTTTAAATTTGCTGATGATACCAAAATTTGGGGTGAAGTGGGCACGCTAGTAGGGAGAGAAAGACTGCAGCAAGACCTGGATAGGCTGCAGGGGTGGGCTAACAAAAACAGGACACGTTTCAATACTGACAAGTGTAGCGTGCTGCACTTGGGCAGTAGTAAGCAGCAGCACACTTATAAGATGGGAAACTCCCTTCTTGAGAGCACAGAGGCAGAAAGGGATCTTGGAGTCATTATTGACTCCAAGATGAATATGGGCCGACAATGTGAGGTCATGGTTGGCAGGGCTATCGTGCATCCACAGGC